CTCGGTATACTACAAAAAATAATGTTTTTTGAAATATATCATTATACACGTAAAGTACGGAAAAATTGAATCTCAAGTAATAACAATTATTACAGGACCTTTGATCAGGGTTTTTGTATTTTAATTCACTATTAATGAAAATGTCGCTAATATGATAACGTAAAATAATTTCATACGTTTTATAAGCTACTAAAATATCGCTCCCTTTTGGATCATTCAGTAAAGCATTTTTAAAATTAGTTTTGAAGGAAAGCAACCTTGGTTCTAATATTGGATCATCAAAAATTTCATCAGTAGGAAAATTTCATCAGTAGGATGAAGAGATGGAGTTCTACTCATAGGCTAGTAGCGCTGCAATTTTATTAGTAAATTTAACCTCCCTAATAATTTTTTAGCATAATATTGAAAAATTTCATCGTTTATTTTTCTTTTTTTTATATGTCTTACATTAATTATTGTCAATTAAACACTTTCACTCGAAATTTTTTTCAGATTTTGTTAAGGCTGGGCTGAAGTCAGAAAGTTTCCCGGAGTTGACTTTACGCCCTCGCGTTGTGCGGCAAAAGGCCGAAGCTTAACATCAATTGAAATTGAGTAGGTAACAATGAAATGGTTCGAAAAATGATAATTTTCAGGGATGCCCTACAAAAAGGGAGCCTTAGGGCACCAAGAAATTTACAAATTTCAGAATAATCTGTTTCGAGCAAAACAGAGCACAGAATATATCTATCTATCTCCGTCTTATTTTTCAGAGAGCAAATGAAAATATGCTGGCTCTGTAGTCAGAAGATTCGACATTTATTTTACCGAATGGTGTTCGATTCCAATTGCGGCAAAATTTTTTTTTTATTTAAATTGCATGTAATTGCAATTCTATCATGCCAAAAATGAGTTTTAAATTTCAATTTTTATGTAAAATTATTTTTCAATTAATCGATGACAAATGAGACAATATTTGAACAGGGCCATTAACCTTTTTTTGTACAAATACATTGATAATAGCCTTTTTTAACAACTTATTAACAATAAAAAATAGTTTAAACAATCCGCGGCGAGTTCCGACACTTCGCCGGCAAGCTTTACTCCCACACTCTGTGCCTAAGCCTGCAGCTTATAATTTTCAAGCATCTATAATATTATTGGAACCATAATAGCTCAGTGGTTTGAGCACCAATCTTTCATTTTGCTGGGCAGGGTTCGATCCCAGTCATAGGCAATTTTTTTTTCTTTTTTTTGCTTAAGTGACTTTATATACTTATAAATTAATTCATATATTTTATTAAATTATTCTTCCAATTAATGACGGAAAACAAGTTGTTTTTCTGAAAATAAGCTAAGGCTGAGGAACGAGTTACTATGAATTCTCTTTTTTCGAAAGTGTTGTCTTTAAAAGACAATAGGAATTGATTTTGAACTTATATAAACAACCAATTATTGTATTTATATAAAATTTTAATAAAAAAAAAAGGAAAAAAAAATTGGCTATGACTGGGATCGAACCCTAATCGGTAAAATGAAAGCTTGGTGTTCTACTCACAGAGCTAACACATCATCTCTGACATTACGTTTATGTTTATAAATTGTATAATGCAGGCTTGAGTACGAAGGGTAGGGATAGAGTTTGCCGGCGAAGTGCCGGAAATCCCCGTGGATTATTTCAACTACTTCTAAATATTTCTAAATTGCTTAAAAAAAAGCTACGTTTATATAGCTATAGTAAAAAAAGTGTTTATAACCCTGTTCATATGTTTTCCGACTCGGCGTCGATAAATTACATAAATAATTGAGAAAAAAAAATCAAATCGTTGTAAACAATTACTTTTGGCATGTTAATATTATAATTTTTAATAAAAAAGAAAAAAAAAACTTTATCATGACTGGAATCGAACCCTGCCTAGCAAAATAAAAGACCGATGCTGCAACCACTGAGCTATTATGGTTCCAATACGCTTATATATGCTTATATATGCTTAAAAATTCTAAGCTGCAGGCTTGGGCACAGAGAGTAGGGGTAGAGCTTGCCGGGAAAGTGCCGAAACTGGCCACAGATTGTTTAAACTACTTTTCAATGTTAATAATAATATGATTAACTTTTTTATAACATAACATTGTTAATACATGTAAAGATGTATAAGTTGTTAAACACAGGCTATTATCAATGTATTTATACAAAAAAAAAGTTTATGGCTCTGTTCAAATATTTTCCGACTTAGCGTCAATAAATTCAATGAGTAAAGAGGAAAAAAAATCAAATCGTTATAATGGATTAATTATGGCATGTCAATATTATAATTACAGCTAATCTAACGAATAAAGTAGAAAAAAAAGTGATTATGACTGGGATCGAACCCTGCCCGGCAAAATAGAACTCTGACGCTCTAACCACATGGCCAGCATAATCTCGATATTGAGTTTATGTGCATTTGTTTTTACACTACATGCTTGGATACGCCGACTTGGAATTGAGCTTCCTTATTAACATTTATACCTAATAAAAATGATAATAATGGATGAATATATGTATTTGAAGTTATTCGCAGGTATTATATTAATTAATGTTAAATGAGTATCATCATTATCATTTATTCTAACTGCAACAGTCATCAAAGTATAAGGCATTGTAAAGTGATACACTATGTTTACATCACATACATATATTACCCGTACACACTTATACACAAATTACTCACCAAAATGCAGGGCACCATCAGTTCTGGATACAGATTGAGCATTTTTTTCAATATGGATGACTGAGGTCATCTGCAAGCATAATGCTGTCACCTATCAGAATTTTTTCAAACTTATTTTCCGGAGAATATCATCTGGAATACAATATTTCTAATTATTCCTAAATTATTCAATTTTATACTATGAATTGATTTTTTTGACATTCAGACAGGTGGCCAGGACTGACGCAAACACGAATTATGGGCGAAAAACGTATAAAAATAGAATAATTAGTGATTTTTCATCTGAAAAATGGCCGTCATCTTGGAATTTAAGCGCGGCAAGTCAATTCATAATTTTTTCATTATTCTTTCTAATTTTTTTAATAAAAATATTCACTATATACAAAAAATTGTTGTTTACACCAGTCCGGCATTAATTCCTCTGTAATTTGGTACCTAATTTTATAGAAATAATAGTAAATTGGCGAAGAAATTAGAAATATCCCGATCCCATGTATTTGGATAGGGGGAATCAGTCGCCTCTCTGACTTCAGCCCAGCCTTAATCTTATACTAAGAAATCGTTTTGAGATCGATTGGAAAGAATTCTGTAATGCCGAAAAATTGGCATGATAACTGTAAAATAGTTATCACGATCTTTTTCATTTTTTGGAATCGAATATCTCTAAAAATAGACGGAAAAAAAGTAAAGTGAGGTGACAGATATCTTCGTTAGACGGTAAAGAACAAAAAATGTCCTATTAAGTATTGTCGATTTCTGCATAACTGCAAAGTTATTAATGAAAATGTGAGGGCTCGAGCAGGCAAAAATTGTTTATAACAAAGAAACTTAATGACGCGTACATTATTTTTGCCTGCAAATGGTTTTTTCAGAATCCTCGTGCAATTTTAGATAAAAATAACTTCAGTTCAAAAAGGGAGGTTGAATTCGCTAATAAAATTGCACCGTTACTGGACTATACTGACATGAATAAAAGAGCGCGAAGCGTGCACATGATGTGTAGAGATGCAGGATGACCATCATCTATGATTATGGTCACAGAACGGTCATACGACCGTCATATGACTGACTATTTCAAATGATCGCCGGTTTTGAAATGCCAATTTACCGTCAGGAATTTTTTGGTCACAAATTTGGTCATCTGCATCTAGCTAGATGAGTTGGACCGTAATTTAAAGTTCGGTCACTTATAACGGAGTGGTCATCAATTTGGTCATCTGTATCTAGCTTGATGGTATAAGACATAATGTACTAAATACTGAAACTTGCGAAACCTTCTGAACAATGTACTGGTTCTTGTTTCTGGTCCGAAGGATGGAGATCATTGCTTCGTACTTGTGATAACTGTAAAAAAATGTATGAAGAACAACAGGTTTCATTTCTGCTTGATCCAGCTGATAGCGTGCAAGCTTATGACGGAGCTGGAAAAGTACAAAGCTCAGAATCTCAATACGGAAAAGGAATAAAGGTACATGCTTTTCTTAATCACGTTCAACAAGTAAATGCTATTGAAGAATATAACAATATGAAAGAAAATTGAAAGAATATCTTCGAAAAAACGACTTGACTGTGCGATAAGAAAATCAACTTATTCATATTCAATACCAATAGTTTGAGAATAATTTATAATTAAAATATCTGTTTTTTAACTTACTTTATTACCAACAGTTGTAAGAATCACATCCTTTCGAAAAACTATTTTTCCGAACAACGAATACCCTTAACAAGACATAATTCATGGAAACATGACATTCAATAAAGTAAGTTATTCGTGATTTTAAATAATCAGGATTCTGTAAAATTTAGTAATCTACATTATTCGTGATAATAGACGTTAGGGATTTCAAATTTTCTAGTCTACAATCTATTCAGGATTTAGAAAAATGCTTAAACAATTACAACTGAAAAATATTCAAAAAATGATAAAATTTACTGACGTGTTAAAAAACGTTCAGAAATAAAAATTTAATCAGTATTTAAAGACGAATATAGTTATCTTATTGCTACTTAGTGTTCAGATAAGTAGGCATGCGATATAACTGGGGAATACGTTAGGAACTTCATTAGCGCATGCCAAGCAACTACTTTCAGAATCAACTGCCTCATCCTATAATATACGCTTGGATGATTGTCGAGGGTCTTATTCCTTATCTAATAAGTTATAATAATGTCAGATTAAATACCATCATAATTATCTTAACTCGGAAAAAATCAATACAGTAAATAATGTTTTCGATTAAGTACTGCAAAATTCGCTATTTAAAATACAGTAAGTCGAATTTATCATAAGTCATTAATTTTCATTCACAGTTTGGTGAACCATTTGGAATTATTATCACTCAAAGGCATTTTTTGAATGCGTTAGAATCTACTCAGCCTTCTTTAACACCAACAGAAGTCGCTCGATTCAATAAAATGTAAGTAAAACTTTTAATGAAAATTTATTCGAATACTAAAGTCTACAACTTTTGTATAAAATATTTTTTTGCATCTATTGCAGTTTTCGCGTAAAATGTAAAAAAACGGCTTTTCGAGCAATCTTACCCCTTTTTTACCCTAACGCTGGGTTCGCAACCCCCTTAAAACTATTCCTAGTCAAAATTAGCATGCTAAAAAATATTTCAGTTAAGTTTGACTGAGGTTGAAAAATTGCCATTTTAGGTCCAACTGGACTGGACTATGGTTTGCCCACTTGATATTACGCTTGCGTATATTATTCTTTATCATTATTAAAATATTATTAAAATTATTAAAACAAAATTTTTTTTATATTTTTTAATACTTAACATACTTGAGAAAAAAATGCCACTTCTGCGAATGTGCTTTTGACTAAACATAAAATCATAACAAACACTTTTTATTGTTGTTAATACAAAATGAGTAATTTTAATGAACATAAGATGTCAAATCGAAAAATACTAAAAAATTAATACGGCATGTTTGCCACGATTTTTCGGATTCAGCTCAAAAGAAAACGGAAAAATACGCAACACTAAAATAAAATTTTTTTTTATACACAAAAAATATCATTTGATTATTTACATCGAAATTCCAGTACGTCGCACTAAAATTTTTTAAAATTTCGAATATTTTTTTTAAATTACTTTATGTAATGAAATGAATAAAATGGTATTTGTTTTCATATTTGTCATATCAAAACAAATGACAAAATTCTTTTTATAACAATATCATTGAATCGAATAAAATATATTATTTTAGGACTACTCTAAGTTCCTCTGATCAATTAAATAGAAAATTCTTTTATTTGACGAAATTATTTTCGCAGTAGATTATTTTAATAAATAATAACATTTTACTGATAATTTATCGCATTCTTATGAAAATATTTCAGTCCAATAAAGGTGCAATTAAATTGGCAAATCTAACCTCCCATTTTGAACCAAGGTTTTTATTACGTTACATAACACAAGGATTCCGAGAAAACCATTCAAAGGCAAAAAAAATGTACGCATCATTGTCTTTCTTTGTTATAAATAATTTTGTTCTCTACAATCTACACATTTTTATTAATAACTTTTCGATATTATCAAAGAGACTAGTAAGTCAAACAGGTGTACTACCGCTGTTGACACACCTCCGCCGTCCCTCTTACGGCCTAAAATCAATTTTATCAAAGAGACTAGTAAGTCAAACAGGGGTACATGGGGGGGGGGAAAGAACCATTTTTTAACATAGTTCTTTTATAAATTCTAAAAATCACGACATTATTTTTACTTGAATTTCATTGGAGCATGACTTGTTGCGATGGTAATTGATCAAATTTATTATACGAAATACACCTGTACAATGAAAAAAGTATTATACAGATGAATAAAAAAAGAAGCAATGGAGTAGGTGAAGCTAGAGGAGGAGTGTTCATAATTTAAATCGTAAATGAGAACATCACTCGTTAATTAAAACGGATATTCCGTTGGAAAATTTGTTTTTATCGTTTATATCGCTCCGAATTATAAATTCCCACCTTCACCCATTTCGTTGCTTCTTTTTTTATTTATCTGTATAATACTTTGTCCATTGAACAGATGTTTTTCATATGATAGATTTTAAAAGAATTAAGAGATTAGAATCGTAGAAATTGAAAAAATTAAATATTTTACTACTGAAAAACTGTTTTCACGTTTGGTTTCCGCAGCCTACATATATAGATATATTCTTGATTAGCATCATCAAAAGGACAACATACTCAATTTTCTACGAAATCGAAAGTGACGGAGTAATACTATATAATTACCAGAAATCGTTTTGAGATCGATAGGAAAGAATTCTATTATACCGACAAATGAGCATGATAGCTATAAAATAGTTAGCACGCACTTTTTCATTTTTTGAGATCGAATATCTTTAAAAATAGGTAAAAAATAAGAAAAAGTGAGATGGCAGAAATTGTCGTTGCACAGTAAAGTATAAAAATGTCCTACAAAATATTGTCGATTTTTAAATATTTAAAAAATTATTGATTAAAATGGGTAGGCTTGAGCAGACAAGAATTGTTTATAACAAAAAAAGACAATGACGCGTACATTTTTTTGTCTGCAAATGGTTTTTTTTAAATTCATGCCTAATCTGTCTATTTATATAAATCTAATGTATTCTTTGGGGACAGGGGACTCATATCCCCCTGATTTTTAAGATTCCCTTCGGCCTTCGGCCGCACGGTTACAGAAAAAAAATAAAAATAGGTCTGAGCACACTTTGTCTGTGCTAACACGACGAACTTCCCATTAGTAATTGTTTATAACAAATTTAAATAGTTGTAATCAATGTTTGTTGAAAACATCCAAATACATGTGATATACACGTTACTTATTTAATAAATACAATTTTTAATTTTTTATAACAAATTCGTATTGTTATAAACAATATGTAATTTTTACGAGTCATATTTCATCATTAATAATATTATTTTGTTGAAAACATCCAAATCCATGTGATATACGCATCAGTTAATTGATAAATACAATTTTCAATTGTTTATAACAAATTCATATTGTTATAAACAATGCGTGATTTTTAAGAGTCATATTTGGTTGTGAACAATAATGTCTAGTCAATATCGACTTAATTTTCAAATCAAATTGTTATTGTTTGGCTTAAAAGTATTTTAAATAGCTAATCTTTTTATTTTTTTTCTTAGTTATTTTGTTATAAAAAAAAACGGCTTCATCGAATTTGTTAAAATTTCTTTCAGATCTTCTTTATAATAATATCTTTCGAATTAATTTTGGTTGAAGTTGATATCTTGATCCGTTCTTAAGATATCGAAAATGAAAAAAATGCTGACGTCCGTACATACATACATACATACGTACACACACATCATTCTAAAAATATGTCAGTATGCTTGCAAATATCTTGAAACGTGGAGATTTAATGAAAATTCAAATTTCACCAATCGACCCAATTACAATAACTTCCTCATGGGAAGTTAATAACCCTGCAAGTACAGCGTATGCAATTACAGTATACTTTTGTCCTCATTCTCACCTTTTTTTTTATAAAAAAAACAAAAATAAATTCATCACAGCGTGGCAACGTCGTGTCCTCAAATAATACCTTGTATATAGACCAGTGACTCAAATAATACGTTGGATACATGATTTTTTTGGGGACTGTCCCTAAACTATACAAATGTCCTCAAATAATACCTTGTACTTAGGAAATGTCCCCAAATGACACTCTGATTAGATTTATACTACTATATAAATTTCTAGTGTCTATCTGTCACACATACTCCTTTTGTTTATAGCGATTGAATTTGTTATAAACAATGGGAGATAAAATCTATGTAATATATTTGAGTTCTTCTAACGTGTACTTTTTTTTCACTAAAATTAAGTTACAAACCATGTAAAATGTATAGAAACCTATTCCTTATGTATGTATCGATTTAATCTGTTATAAACAATTAAAAACGCGATTTATTTGATAAATTTTAGTTTTTCCAACGTAATTATACGCATTACTCGGACAAAGTCGTGGGAATCTACTAATTATACATAAAATGAACCTTGGTTAAAAATAGGAGGTTTGATTTTTTATTACTCCTATTGTTAACTGCACTTTTACTGGACTATTTAGTTTTTCGAATTTGGCCGGTCCATCATTTACACCGCAAATCCAAAATCTCGTCATACATATTTGGAATTCATCTAGATGATATATAACGCTATAAACGAACTATCGTAGCAGTATAGTAATTTTGTCGAAACTTTTTACACACATAACAGTGCGTGAAAAATTCATACACGTTTTATAGTTTGTTAATGGCGTTATATATGGAGAGAATTTTCTCACTAAATGTAAGTTTAAAAATTACAAGTGCACTTTTCAAAATTTAGAAGAAGAAATATTTCTGTTCAACAGTGAATTTTGGGTTATAGTGAGTACCTTTCGAGTTATCCTAAGTAATTCTTTTACTAAGACGCCTTTTAAGTCTCAAGTTTACTTACAAGAGTTTAAAATTTACTATTGAAAAGAAATATTTTTACTTCTTAATTTTCAAACGTCGACTTGTCACTTTTACACTTACATTCAGGACAAAAATTCTCTCTGTGTACGTGTAATACACATTAAATAAATAAGTTCCACACATATGTAAATCATGCCGGATTTGCAGTGTACATAATCGATCAGAGAAAATAAGAATTTTTATGTCAGTATTTGAATTTCGAGTCAGTAACGAAGAAATTAATGAAAATAATTTTGTAATAATTATTTAGGAATGTAAAAATCCTTTTTATTTCATTATATATCGTTCTTAGCAAACACAAGAATATATTCTTCAATTTTTCAGTCAATCATTACCGATGTTTACATATTTAAGTTAACATAACATATTTTTTTTTATTTCATTTCAAATAATATAGTTAATAAATGAAACTGCGACCTTTTTTCAATGAATCGATTGTGATGACAATTTGAAACATTCTATCATCATTTTCATTGATCATTTTTTACTTTTTCTGATGTTTAGATACAAGAAATTTGGCCAAGGTGATAATTTTACTGAAGATATTATAAATAATCCAAAAGCAACACTAGCTTGAATGAGGAAAAATTCCTTCAAGCTTGAAATGGTTTTTTCTTATTGAATGAATTGCGCTACACAGGTAAGAAGATTATGAGGAATAGATTAAGAAACGCAAATCTCATCAAGCTTACCATTAACTCGTATCTGGACTGGACCGAAAAGCAAAAGAAAGAGTCGAAAGGACAGGAAAATTTCTTAGGAAGATAATTTGCTCGAAACGAAGTTTAATTTAAATCGAATTTGACAAAATTTTCTTTAAAAAAAGTAATGAAACAATTTATTGATAAAAAAATGCACAAGAAATGCATAGCATATGTAGAAAAAAAAATTGTGAAATAAAAATTCTGTTTGGAAAACTAACTATTATTGTATATTCTCTTTAGATTGCACAAAATTATAGCTGTAGGTACAAGGTCGTATAAACTATATAATGTAATCCCGATTCCAAAAAAAAACATTCGATTTTGACTTTGAAAAAGGTCAAAAGCAGATTAAAACTAACAATTGTCATGACCTGATTCGAAGCTACATACACAATAATTGATTTAATATCAAGTCTTGCTTCTCAAGTCCAAACCAGGTTTAAAAATTTCCAAAAACTGATTTTGATTTAAATGTATGTCTTTCTTCCCACAAAAATCTACTAATATGTGAATGAGTAACTATGTCAATTGTTTAAGCCAAAAAACATTCGATTTAAATTTAGAACGCAATTGAAAAAAAATATAATAGTAAATTATTTTAATCATGTTGTATATGAATCGTTCAGAAGATCTATCAAATTATCCAATAATTCTAAGAAAAGAGAAATGAATTTTTTCGTCTTCTTCAGAATGGATTTGAACCTGCGACTGCTTAATTTAAAAGCACTGCCTCAACCCGCGCAGCTACTCGGTTATTTTATACTTCAATTCAAAATACATCTATTCTCCGTGAATTTTTATTCGCTATTGACATTAGACTTGAAGTAGATCTTGTATTTCTTTTAAGAATTAAAACCTATTTTCGATTTAGTAGCTTCAATATAAATCATTTTATTTTATCAAAGTACATCTAAACTAAGTTTGAATCGTCTAAATCAGGTCATTAATAGTTAAGCCCGGGCTTTGACCAATAATAGTGAATGATAATAATTTTCAGGAGCTATGTTCAAACCAAGTTCAAATTATCCAAATCAGGTCTTATTCTATCTGCATTTACCGACATCAAAGAACAATAGTTCAAGTCAGATCTTATTTTTTGACTCGGAATTCAATGGATCGGATCGAGGATTGCAGTCAATTTTGATATGCACAAATCCATTAGAACGGTCACAAATTAATTGTTACTTTCAAAATTTTTTTACACTGAATGTTTTAACACTGGAGATTATAACAGTTCACAATAATATATCATCACTTTTTTTGTGATCGAACATTATTAATTTTTTAACAATATTATATTTTATATCTTCCACAATAAATTGAGAAAACATTCTAAAACTAGAATTTTTCAAAATACAAAAGTAGTTTCTCACAAAATTATTACTACACTGGAGAACAATAAGTAAGAGAGTTGCACTAAATCTTGAAACTAAGGCGTAATAATATTATTCTCAATGTAAATATGAAAAATTAACGGTATGAGGTAGCTACGGCTTAAGACTAGATAATTGATTGACAATATCTAAGATAGTTGTTTTTAGTCCAGTCAATATGCTTTCAAAAAGGGTGAAAAGATCTGTCTTTTTTTAACTTATAAAAACTTTTGGTAAGTTCTAAAAATTCCTGAAATGATCCAAAAAACTTCAGAATGTGTGCAACTATTACAATCGATCTGGAATGTTCTGAAAAGTTCTAAAAATTTCTCTGAATGATCCAGAGAATCTCAAGCATGCATTTGTATATGCATTATTTCCAGTGAACACCGAACCTTGCTGTTATATAACATACACAAAACATGTTATGTTAATGTTAGTTATGTGTATGTAGTATAACTTTTATATAACGTAAGCGTAATAAAGTAATATAACAGTAGTTACTTCTACGCAACGTAACAAGAATATATAACATTGTGACATAGGTGTTATATAATTTTTATGATGTTTTCATTACACGAATGTACCGTAACAAGTCAAAAATTTTTAGAGTTGAACCCTGATGGTATTTCTGTAGTACACATTTTATAATTACATTGGCATAGCGTTACCTAGTTCAAGAGCAGTATAAAAAACCTCTATGCTGATATGCATTAATTTGAAAAGAGTTGAAAAAATTTTTTTTGAGACAGCTTCTCGGAGAGATGGACGCGAAGAGCATTTGTGCCAAATGTCATTGTTTGGAAATAATTATTACTATTGCTTATTAACAATTGAAATTTGGCAAAGTGCATTTTTTTACCTTTCAATGCTTGCACAGCGAGAACCGTCCGTTTTTTGGAAAAAAATGTAGATACCGTTTTTGTAAAGGATTAAATTCTCAGTTCTCAGGAGCGCGTTCAAAGCACTGCATCTTTTTACCTGTAACAGGTAAGTATATGCTATCGATAATTTTTTTGTAGAGAATTGGAAATTTTATTTTCGATTGCATGTAGGGCCCCCGGGGTTACATAGATGTTTCTGTCCTTAAGATATGTCGCGTAACAACGGGGGCAGATTATTGATCACAGTTCGTCGTGCCTCATTTTCTTACTGCCCTATATGGTAGTCTGAATGTGGGCACGTCGAACACGCCGAGCGCGAGACGCGTTAGCGACCGCTGACCAAAGCGGATAAAGTTGGTACTACGGGAGGCCAAAGACCAAGCCCAGTACCTGGGGCTGCAAAGTCAAAATATGACATGTAGGCCTAGATACAACTGGCCAATTGAGGTCGGACTCGTAGTGGTATGTTGTAAGGCCTCGGGCTTGTTACGTGTATCCCTGTGCCTGTTCTAGGTGCAGGTATATGTGTCCCGGGAAATGCCATCGCGAAGAGAGTAGAGTTATAATTTCCCAGAGTTATGCCCAAAGAGGCGAGGTACTCAATTTCCGTCCTTCGGATGGGGGAAACATGGATTTGGATTTCGATTGCATGTAATCTTAGAGTTGGTGACTAAGTTTTACTAACAAGGAATCCTCGCGAGGTGATCACCGTCGATTTGGCTGAGGTTCCTATATTATAATCTACGTTAAAAACAACATGAAAAATGATGAAAAATACCTATATGTACATATTTATAAAACTTGCAAATATACATTTTTTTTAATTAAAAATAACAAAAAATCTATAACTCAGAAACTACTATTTAATTTTTAATAAGACCAATCTCAACTGAAAAAGCATGAAAAACTACAACATACGTATCTTTACAATTCTTAAAATAACATCAAAATCGATTATAAAAAAAAATATTCTTCTTTTTCCTAGATTTGTATAGAAATGAAAAAGATGAATTATTTATTTATTGTACGTATTACATATATGATAATCATTGTAAAAATGTCCAATACACAACGATTTTTTATATCATGCACAACGGTTATTTGCAATATTTTTATATCCTGGAATTTCACAATAAAACTTACAGTTATCTTCAAATGCAAAATCGATTGCATTTTCAAATTCATCTGGTTTAATAAATGTATAACTACTTTTAAACGATGAATAACGAAAAAGATTAATGTATCACGGAGACGAGAGTTGATTATGAGTCAGTGATTGTAATTTAATAATATTATTTCTCAAGTGTAATTTAAATCATCTCCTCGTAATAGGACTCTGTTTGAAAAATGTCTTACAAAGTTTTTCCATATTCTAAACCCAACATATTTAATGGTTTAATTTGTCCAGTAGCCCCTTTAAGAATAATAATTATCTTAACTTCTTTATCCAGTGGTTTGACAGACGTGACAACTTTAGAACAATGTATCTGGTCTAAAAAGCGATGCTTCCACCCGTGGACCAAGTTTTCCAGATGATTCTTTCAACACAAGAAAAAGGAAAGTGAGAAGTTTTCCATTGGCTGATACCATTGGTTGTATAGTATAACTGTGAGTTGTCGAAAAAACTGATTGAACTGTGCACTCTATTCTTTTTTCTCCTGTTGGAGCTAAAGTCTTCTCTAAATGTACTTCCAATTGAAGGCCACTTTGATCCGAATTATATATGTTGTCTAAATCATATGATTGAATTTTCGATTTTACATCGTTAACGAACACTTCTGATGTTTGTTTTAATATTTTACGATCTCAACTGCTCGCAATTTATAATCATGACTTAAGCTCTCTTCATCAGTAGTCCATGCTTCATCAGACACTTTTGATTTATGGATTTCAGATGCATATTCTTCGTCTTCTGTAATTTCTGGTTCCCAATCCTTATATGGTTCTTTAAAATGTAATAAATTTTCTTCTATCATTTCGATATCAGTATACCCATTCGTTGCATTCAATTATATTTGTTCAAAGTGATTCTTCAATTGTATTTCAGCATCATTTATAAGTGTCTTCATAATTTTCATAGTTTGAAATGTTGTTGAAAGTAACCGAATTATATCAAGGAGTTGAACTTTTTTTTAGAAAAAAAGGAAATAATATTTCTATTTCAAGCACATGATTTTATACACATATGAAATAATGACTATTAACCAAAATATAAATGAAGACAAGATGCAAAAATATCCATTCACTACAGCATTAAAGATGAATGCGAAAAAAAATGTTACAATTTTTGAAATAACTAGTCATAAACTATTCAGTCTCTAATTACGACGTATTTTATTCGGTGATTATTGTGACTATAAATAAGTTATCAATAAGAAATGGAAGTTTTAAATGATGATTTTGTTTGCTGTCGTTATTGTTATTTTAAAAATTGTAAAAATACGTATCTCGTAGTTTTTTATACTCTTTCGGTTGAAATTGGTCTTAGTAAAAATTAAATAATAGTTTCTGAGTTATAGATTTTTTGTTATTTTTAATAAAAAAAAATGTATATTTGCAAGTTTTATAAATATGTACATATAGGTATTTTTCATCATTTTTCATATTATTTTTAACGTAGATTATGATATAGGAACCTCAGCTAAATCGACGGTGACCACCTCGCGAGGTTTCTTTGTAAGTCAAGATTGGACTTCAATCAGATCTGTATTAAGCTTATTTTTTATTTTTGGTATGTTTTGGGAGTTTTTTGAGCCTATTCACTTTTATTTGGTGGAAAATGATTACATTGGTACCAAATATTGCTGCGAAATAATGATAATTATTTAAAATTTTGAAAGTAACTTCTAAAGAAAAGTTACATGATGATTTTGGAGAATAAAAATCATTTTTATAAAATCTACTAGCTGATTTCCGCAACTTTACCTACGTGATGTATGCCATTACGTTACATAATAATTGATCGAAAAAGTTTTAACGAATAACTTCGTAGATCACATAAGCTAATTC